TTGAGAGAGAGGGAACCTAAAGAAGAAAAATACAGCTGACTTATGTCCTAATTATGTCTTAATCTACTATTTGGCATGCATTAAAGGTACAGTATGTAAAATCTCACCACTACATGTCAGCAGATTGCAGTCAACTAAATCCTATTTTCTTACCCCTCGCATTTCAACTACACAAAGGCCCTTTCACATAGGATACGGCATGCGCTGCACTGACTGCTAGCTCGAGTGAATGCATGTAAAGTTGTGTCAAACAGTTTACCAAAGTCGGATATGAACAGAATGTTTTCCTTCATCATGTGGCTGAACTTTGAGCAGCTGAATTGTCTTTGATGTGCATCTAACATCACAGAACTTGAACACTTTGTAACGTAACTCTCTTACGATGTGAGAATGTAATCAAATTGTTTATCAGAGGGAAAGTGGGATTTTTAGGACACTTAAGCCTCACATTAGCTGGTATAATGTTAATTTATGTTTTGTTGTTGTTGCATTTTTTTAGTGGCTTTTTGTTAGCTGTCTGAAAACAGCAGGTTTGCATGCCTAACCTGCTGACACTAGCTAACTCTGACAGTAATGAAAATGTTTAAGCCCTAAATTCATTTAAGGACATGAGGCTTGAGGCAAGGAGGAAGAAAATGAGGTGCAAATGAGGAAGGAGAGTGGGCAAGGGTGTAGGAGGCGAATGGAGGCATAATGGCATAATGAGAATGAGAACCATCTTGCCACTGATTTTTAGCCACATACATAAAAGACGATTACAGCGATGTCCACTTTGGCCACTGTATTTAAGATTTGTGTGACAAAAAGGCAGCTTCCACAAAGACACTTTGTATTTTTCATGGATTAATTATGAGTTTATGAGAATGGACCAGTTTGTTGGTAGACTTAATTCAGCTATAAGTACAATAGTATTTTTATGTTAAATAACTTAAAAAAAATACTTACTATACCATCAAATCATCTTAAACTTAATCACATAAGTGTGAAGGTTTTTCTGGTCATGTGGTCGGTTTGGTTTGTCTTTGTTAGTATGCCTGTTAGCAGGATTTTTCCCATGGAGCTTTTATCAGTGGTGGGCCTTGCTCCAACTTAGAAATGATTAACTTAATCATCTGAAAAAAATCCTCTTCTTCTCAAGAAACAATAATACATTTGGATCAGATATCCTGGGGATTCAGTTCATGGTGTGGAGGGACTTTCAGCCCTGTAAATGGTTTGAGACTGGGTCCCTCTTATCTACGTTATGCTATCATACAGTGTGCATTTTTAGTTTATGAGGACTCCTGCTGTTCAAAGTGTTCCACTGATCACATTTTCTGTCACAGCCCATTTCCTTTCATTTCATTTCATCCGCTCTAAGTAAAGAGATTAATACAGAGCACGTCTTTCATCCTTCTAAGTGATCAGAGATAAAACAGCATGAGTCATTTTATTATTTTCAGTGTTTTTAGCATGCAGTTTAGTCTATTTCTCAGAAACTCTGAAAAAGTATGAACAATTTTGTTATTAAAACGGTATATTTTTAACACAAATACTGAACATTTATTAACAATAAATTACATCATTTGAATGCATTCTTTTATACTCTGTGTGTGTGTGTGCGTGTGTGTGCGTGCGCGCAAGTTAATAACGGTGTCATACCCATTATAACATGGTAACTGTATAACTGCAGTCATGTCAGCAACTGATTTTAGAGCAAAGTCCAACACTACATAGCTGTGAGATTTCAGGAAGTGAAACGGGGAAAAATCACTGTTGAAAAGCAGGTAAAAAAACCAATTTAAAACCAATTTATTTGCTTTGTTCTTTTATTTTTGCCCTTCATTGTTAATCTTTATCTCTCTTGTCTCTGTGTTTCTCTCTCGCTTGCATTTGACTTCATCTTCTTGTTTTCCTCTGCTTTATTTGCACTTTATCTTCCTGCCCCTGATCATTGTAGTCACAGAACAAATAAATAACGAATGATTATGATTGAAATCACATTTTTTCTTCCTTCAGAATCTTTGAACGTGGTCTTAACCAAGTATGTTTAGTGCATGCATGTGTATACATATAGACAGTATGAGTATTGCTGAAAATGTGTTAATACATAGTGTTTCAGACTCATGTCAAAAACTGTTCAGTTCAGTACAATTCACAGTTTTCTGTTGTGTTTTATTATTTATTAAGATTAAAAGACTGAAACACCCCATATTCAGATGATTTCTTATGGGACTAAAATTAAAGTCTTCCTCAATGAACACATCCATCCAAGGGTGATTAGGGATGAAGGACCAGAGCATCTCCAAAACTGTGACTCTTGTGGGGTGTTCACGGTCTGCAGTGGTCAGTATCTACCAAAACTGGGCCAAACAAGGAAAGACTGTGACCCATGTGGTCCAATCCAACAGACGAGTTGCTGTAGCTCAAATTGCCAAAAATCGTGATCCTGGTTCTGGTATAAAGGTGTCAGAATGCACAGAGCGTCGTAGAGTATAGGGCTGCATAGCTGCAGACCAGTCAGGGTGCCCATGCTGACCCCGTCCACTACTGAAAGCGCCAACAATGAACATGAGAGCATCAGAACTGGACCATGGAGAATTGGAAGAAGGTGACCTGGCCTTCATTTGGATGGTTGAATTTGTTCGCAGCACTTACCTAAAGAAGGCAACCCAGCGTAGGCAGTGTGATGCTTTGGGCAATGTTCGGATGGGAAACTTTGGGTTCTGCCATCCATGTGGATGTTACTTTGACACGTACCATCTACACGCTTTCATGGAAACAGTACGCCCTCATGGCTGTGGCCACTATCACAAAGCAAAAATGGTTGAGGAATGGTTTGAGGAGCACTGTGTATTGACTTGGGCTCCATCTTTCCCAGTTTCAATCCAGTTTAATCATCTGTGGGATGTGCTGGTCAAACAAGAACGATTCATGGAGGCCCCACCTTGTATAACTTACAAGACTTCAAGGATCTGTTGCTTACATCTTGGTGCCAGATACCACAGCACACCTTCAATGGTCCATACCTCAACCGTTTAGGCCTGTTGTGGTAGCATAAGGGGAACCAACAGAAAATTAGACAGGTAGTCATACTGTTACATCAGAATATTTAAAAAGAAGGTGGGTGGGTGTGGGACAGCTCTGTGAACATACTGGGGACTATGCCAATTCTAGAGAATCATCTAGAATCATCTATACTTGAAGATGCCATTGCTGCCAAAAGTTGTTTTTAACTATAAGGTCTGTACTATATATAACAAATGGAATATTTTAATCTTTATTATGAACAAACTGATAAAGGACTACAAAATCTATTTGGCTCTGATTGTTGTGGATAGATTGATCAGAGAAAATGAACTGAATTAATTTTTAAAAAGTTTGAAGCATATGTTACGTCCCTCTGCAGCCTCTAATCTGCTCAGTGTGTTCAGCTGGTGCTAATTGACCACACCTAGTCAGGTGTGGATAAAGGCATACCTGAGGCAAGCTTCC